TTCAACTACAGATAAAATGCATTGTTGGTCATTCTATAAAATTGTATTTTTATGCTTTCATTTTTTTTTGTTTTTGTTTTCATTATTCGCCCTTAGCTGTGACCCTAACAAGTGCTACCACCCCGAGACAGGGTGGACTTGGGAACAACAGCAATTAAGAGGTGGTTTCACGCTCCTCAAACCTTCCGATCAGATGAGGCATTTAGTTTATCGTCATACCCAGGAATGCAGAGACACCGTGCGGTTTTAGTAAAAAGTGCTTTGTACTGTGACACCCTAAAACACTGAAAAGGTTAATATATAGCCCTATATATAGATATACTGAGAATAAAATGGAAAAGTCAGTAGATGGCCTACTTGACCAGATTTTGTAAATTCGGAGAAAGGTAGGCTGAAACATCTGATTTATTTTCCCACAAAGAAAAGGAAAATTGATATTTTCCTTGACTTATTTTATCAGTTGTCAACAGAAAAGAAATAATCTAGCAAAGCTGAATCACCAAGAGATATCATTCTTTAAAAGGAAATCCGGGTTAGTAAATTGTGCACAGGTTATGAGAAAATTGGTCATATAGTAAATTTTAAACATCCGAATTTTGAGAAAGTGTGTTCCAGTCGTTGAGGAAACCTGATACAAATACTGAATAACAGAACAATGGAAATAATGATCGATGACAAGCAATCCAGGGAAATTGAAATACAAAAAACAATATTATGAAAATGAATATAAAAACCAGATGCCATGATGCCAGGCTGACTGTTCCAAGGATGGACAATGGAGTGAGTCGCAGAAAATTCCTCCCGATATAACGATTCAACGAGAGAAGACGCTAAGGAGAAATGGAATTGTCGCCGCCCACCCAACGGTGGTAGTACGAGTATAAGGGAGGTTCAAAGTAGTGGTTTCAGCTGAATGGAAGAAAGAGTGGTCTCTGCCAATCAGAAACACTGGGGGAAAACATGACTTTAAGAGTAGCTGGGAGGAGCCAGGCCTGTGTTGTCTATCCGCGGAACGAGATAACTTCCAAATTTAGAAAAATTAAGGATGTTATGGAAAAATGGAAACAAAAGAACTTTGTTAGAATTTAGTTAATTAGTCGGAGAAGTGAGAAAAAAAAAACCCTAAGACCCCATCGATCCCCAGTCTGGAGCTGGGGCCCATAAAAAGCAGAACGCTTGCAGAGAAAACGGAGACGAAGGGCGAAAACGAGAGAGAAGAGAGATTGAGCTGCTGACGACTGCTTCGCCTGATGTCACGTGACTCCTGTCTGACGAAGACCTCCATCTTCAACCATGCACATGAAACGTTGTTGAGAAGCTCAACTATAACGAACTTATACACAGGAGAAGACGAGAGAAGAAGACGGGAACAGGAAAAGAAAAGAGAGAGAGAGAGAGAGAGAGAGAGAGAGAGAGAGAGAGAGAGAGAGAGAAACAACCGTTCCATAGGATTCCTCTTATTGAAGAAAGCATCCGACTTTGATCTGTGTTCCAGAGTATTTACCTCGACGTAATCATAATGAAGAAAGGTGTCGCGAAATATTCGAATGAGGGAAGGGTCAAGTGACTTTGCATGTCAGGATATGCCTGCATGAAGAACCTATGGTCTTGTATGGGGAACAAAACTTGTAATACCTGTTCTGTATAGGTAACGTCATATAAAATATTATTACTTTTTTTTACAATTTGTCTTGTGACTTGTACCTTTTACTTCTCCTGTCCGGACTAGCCCAGTGATTTCCATCGACTACTGACTCTTGCCAGCCTTATGGTTTAAACGTGGATAGGACAGGGCTTAGATCGAAGTGATCGATATCAATAGCAGACACTGGACGAAAAGACTGGAAGGACTTGAGGAGGGACGTAACGTTATAATACGCCTTGCAACAGAAAAAAAATCATGCACCATTCTGTTTTGAAAGGATAAATGGAATATATATATATATATATATATATATATATAGGATTGGTGTATACGATATAAATTCTAATAACCAAAAAATACAATTCTTAAAAGAGTGTTCAATACAGAGTAGAGCAAATATAATTATTTATTCGAAAATTATAACATAAATATGTTATAAAATCACTACAAAAATAGCCATTGTTTCAACACTTACCAGAAGTGTTGAAATAAAATGACTATTTATATAGTGATTTTATGACATATTTATGTTATAATTTCGAATAATATAATATATATATATATATATATATATATATATATATATATATATATATATAAAATACGATATGTTTATTTTAGCGTTAAAAACAATTTCTTTCCTTTTCGTTTTTCTCAATATTCCGCCTCTTTTCTTTCCTCCTTATTTCCATTTCACTGAATCAGACGTTAAGCACCTGATAACGTTATCGCTTCCTATATTCTTTCTTACTTTTTCTTTCTTTCTTAAAGATATTATCTAATCTTTGTTTTCCTTCACTAATATAATATGTGCGCATATTAATTATGTCATATGCACTTCAAGATACTATCTCCTGTGATAAATGCTATCTTATTTTAATGAGGGCTGTTTATTTTGTATAATAATAACTTCTAGAGCAGGGGTGTGCAAACTACGGCCCACGGGACACATGTGGCCCGCCAAAAGAATTCATACGGCCCGACAAAAGAATTCATACGGCCCACCAAATGTTAGTAAATTTGAAAGAGAAAGTTACCAAGCAACGTCAAATAATTGTTTACAAGCAATTTGACACCCAATTTTAACAAACTAATAAATGATTGCAGTCAGATACATTATTCTCATTGAGTTATTGAGATTCTTCTGTTGCCGAGTTATTTTGTTTTTCAAATAAATCTGTTTTATGTGAAGTTACTACTTCAAAATATCATTAATTTTTTCCCCCCTTTAAAATGAATTACCGTATTTGACGGTATATAAAGGGCACTCTTTTTTTTAAAATAAAAGTATCTTTTAAAATTCTCCTGCGTCTTATATGCCATATGTAGGTTTAAAATTCACGATAGTCGTCCGAAATTAGCTACCTAGCAACTTCTATTAGCTTAGACTTTAGAGTAACTTTTATATACATATTGTCATTATTTAAAAGGCTATAATGCAGATTAAAAGTGTTATCATTAATAATATTCATTATATTAATTTCATCAAGTTTAATATTACTATTTTGTGTTAATATACTATGCGGCCGAATAAAATTGTGAATTTTGAATGTGGCCCTTGCACTGAAAAGTTTGCCTACCCCTGTTCTAGAGTTTTGATTTTATCTTTGCATCGGGTGCCGTAGAGTATTTTGGTGTTATCTACTATCTGTGGTCTTGACCTGGCATTTCGACTTCAGTCATTTTCCCAAATCCGTTTTGTGGCTTCCCTTTGCCTTTTATATAAATATTTTCGTCGCAGTTGTTTTAATGAGCGTTCCTCCTTGGTATGGGAACTTGTTAGGATTTCATAGAGACTTTGTGGCATTATGGTGGCTGTATTAAGAATGGTAAGTAAGAATGTGTTGTTTTGCTGTAAGAAATACAGTGGTATATTTGGGTCAATAATTGTGGCTAGCTAAGTTTAAGATGAGTCAGATTGAAGACCAGTTTGCCTCTATCCCCCCCCCCCGTTGGCCTTGTACCACATTTTTTTTTTTTTGTATTTTCAAAATAAATATTGCTTTTCTCTTTGGTACCCCGACAGCATTAATTTAAGCATTCTACTAGATTGGCAAATAGGTTTCATCCTTTTACTGTTGAATTAGCTACATGTAAACGTAAGTTCTATTCTAATTTCTTTTATCGAACTTCTCACCTGTGGAACACTCTTCCAGCTTCTTCTTTCCTGTTTCTTCAAAATTTTAAATGCAGCATCAATCGCCATCTTTTAGCTATCTGAATCTGTTCTTTTATTGTCCTTTCTCCAAAATAAAGTCTTTTTCATTCTCTTCCATTCCAAATAACCCCTTGCGTCATAGTGGCATTATCGCCTTACTTGGAGTGAAATGATTACAAAAAAATATAAATTATGGTAAAATGCCTAATCCAATATTGTCGCAAACTTTACCCATCTTTGAGTCTTTTGTTTTCCTTTTTTAATGACATATATTTTTGGAGCGTAGAGGATCATGTCTCACCACAGCTTCTTATTGTCTATTAACTGTGAAATGCATTTGATGCTCTTGGGAAACAGTTGGGAACACTGTTTTGATTTCAGAGTCGTCTGCCCAAGGCTAGAGAGCCCGTCTACTATAGGGTTTAACCCATAGTTGGGGGAAAGTCAAAGCAGGAGACTAGAATTTGAACTCGATTCCACTTTCCGCATTGATAACCCTTACAATACCCACTCATGCATTTCGTTTATTAAGCATTTTATATTAAGAAAGATGAAATTGCGCCTGAAAAAACTGCATTTGTACAGTATATTGAGTAAGTGATATGAAAGAACACACATATCTCAAGTGATAAATTTCTCATTGAACGGTGCTACACGGCCGGACTGAGCAACTGAGTTTGTTAGCTATCAAATGAGACATTATTTAAAAACAACATTACATAGCCAATGCAAATTTCATGCGTTGAAAATCATTGCAGCAACTTGGTTATGTTAGCTGTTTTGAAGTGTGGTTTCCACATAGAATAATGTTCCGCTTTGGAAACAAATTTTTATGGATGATGAAAAGTGGATAATTTCCATCAATGTGGAACACAAGTGATCGGAGAGCGAGCAAAATTAACCAGCGCTAACCATATCAAAATTGTTTTGCATTCAATGTTGCTGTGTATATGATGGGTAAGGAAGGGGGTCATCTAATAAGGGATTATTCCTGATTATCTCACTTTTCGATCAGCTGAAGGGTGTACAATGAGCAAGTGCCCAGAAATTGTTAAAAGATGGCGTGTAATATTCCAGCAGCATAACACGTAAAACTATGTATGTTTGGTGAATAAGCATACACCTTTTACAACTTAACTGGGAAGATTTTACTTATTCGCCTTATTTAGACGGGATTAAACTTAAAAAAAATTAACTTACGTCCACATCACGTTGAAACACCTGTCCCTGTACGATCACCGAAGTTAAACAATGTCGAGACTGGTAACTACATAGATGGATGACCGCTTGGGAATACAAGGTGATGTGAGGGTAAATATATAATATTTTTTTTTTGTTATGCACGTCGGCGGTCACCAAAATCATGTGGAGAATAGTAGGATGTTTTTGGACGTCAGGGGCACCAAAAATAATGTGTGCGGTTACTCACATCGCAGCAGCAAAAATTATCCTCGTGTTCATGGAGATAAAAGCATACTTGAAAGGAAATAAAGCGTGTAGAAATAACAGAAAGTATGGTAAATCGTATTTTAATTAAATACAATTTATTTATATTTTTTGTGTGTATTGGTTTACGTAATTTTTTAGGTTACAATTGTTTCATGTTACATGTGATAAAAGGGAGAAATTACTCCGAGAGTTACAGACCATGTGACACAGTGAAGTCGGACACGTGTTGCCCGTACCAAGGTTCCTGGTGAAAAGATTGAATTTAACGTTTTTTGGCGGGATGACTGTATTTTCGGTAGGAACAGTTTTTGTTGCATGCTGGGAGAGTTTTATTATTTTTATTTTTTATTTAATTTATTTTATATAACATTTTTATGCTATTGTTTTATTTTATTTATAATTTTCAGTATTATTATTATTTTGTATTTTATTTCCATTTATGTATAATAATAATGTCTCTACAGATTTAACCTGGGATGTAGGGGTGGTGCAATGGATAATGTCTCGGAGTTGTAAATTGGAGAGACTAGTTTCAATTGCCGTTCGGTTCGTTATATTCACTTACGCGCAAATTCCCCAGGGAAAGTTATGAATCAACTTCTGCTCTCTTCCAGCTATGGGTTAATTAGTAAGTTATTATTATCCCCCATCGCAATTCTTACATTCTAAAAAGATTGTAAAATGTCTTTGCAATAATTCTTTGATGGGAATAAGAAAAAAAAAAAGTTATTTGGCGGAAGATAATGAAAAAAAAAAGCAGTAAATATGGGGACTAATGATATGTCCGTCGAAAATTTAAAAAAAAGACTTTTGTTTTTATATAATAAATAGAACGAACTATCCATCTATATATCGATCTATCTAACAGAACATGTCCCCCGTAGTCTGTTATCTATCTATCTATCTATCTATCTCAGTCTGTTCATTTCTATCTATCCATCTGTAAATGCCTCTCTCGGTCTGTTCACGATCTATCTATCTATCTATCTATCTATCTATCTATCTATCTATCTATCTAAACATGTCTCTCACTGTCTGTTCACTATCTATCTATCTATCTATCTATCTATCTATCTATCTATCTATCTAACATAGTACCCGTCAGAAATGACTCGATTATATATATGTATATATATATATATATATATATATATATATATATATATATATTTGCAGGTTTGAAAGATTGAAAGCTGTTTTTATAGTTTTCCTGAAATAAAGATTATTACCTATGGTCTTTTAGATCTTTGCTATTCATTAATTAATAATTTTGCTCTGTCATAGAGCTTTCCTTGGATCCTTATCCTCTTAGAAATTCCATACGCATTATATAATATGATTTCATATATATATATATATATATATATATTACCGAGTCATTTTTGACGGGTATTATGCTAGACAATATTATTTCATCTTTAACTCGTACTGTTTCTAGTCAGTCTCATATTGTTTAACTGTAGAAGACGGATGTATTCATTCAAGAGGTTTTTTCCCTTTTGTCCTTCAGACCTTTGCTGACATTCTCCCTTCCGTACTCATCGTCTTTGACTCTTCTGATTTTTCGATATTTTGGCTGGTTCGGGTGGTGGGCGTGTCTTCCTTACCCTCGTGGTTGCACTGTCACGTGTTGATTCAAAATTTATATATGTTAATGAGCATGCACGTGACCGACTTTTCACTGTAGATTGTACCGCGCACCATCTCTTCACCTCTCTTCGAGTAGCAGCATCTGAACTTCAATGAATGATTTACCATTTTCTCATACACATAAATCTTTCTCTTGCAGTATCATCAGGGTCAGTGCGTACTAAACCCGATAGAGAGGTGGGGGCAAGCTTGATTGGGGGTTCCCGCGTAGTGCTTTGTGACCGTCATTCTCTTATCAACGTTTGTTTGTTTCTACCTACACTTATATACGCTACAAATTAAACTAAGCACAACTGACTATTATTAAAAGATGAAAAATTTTCGCGGATTTTGGCGTCATTCTGGGTGGGGGGCGAATCCATGAATTTGTTTTGCTCATGGTAAGTCGCGAAAAAAACAATACTAAATTTCATGATTTTGAACGTCTTAAAATTCTTTAACCTTTTAACAAGAAAAATCTCAAGTTGATGTTAAAGATTGATGCAAAACATTGTTGATTTATTTAAGATGGATCTATCCTGAAATGTTTCTAATTTGTAATTAGATGCATTGTTTATTTTCAATTTTCTAGTTGAATTATTTACCTGTATTTATATGATCCATTATTGTACATAATTAGTTACAATAATATATATATATATATATATATATATATATATATATATATATATATATATATATAGAGAGAGAGAGAGAGAGATAGATAGATATTATGAAATGGATTAAGTCTGACAATTTTTTAATATATTTTCTGTTTATACGTTATTTTTTTTACAGATATAACTTACTAGTAGTAGAGCCCGGCGTTGCCTGGGATGTAACAGTAAGAGATAGATCAAGTATTGACCATCATAAAGACTGAAAAATAAAATTGACAAAGATTATTGTTTAAGGTTGACGGACACGCATGTCTTAATTAGTTTTTTTTTTGTTTTTTTTTACGAATTGGTCAAACCCAAACTCAAACAAAAACATTGTTTTCAATCGTTATGAGTCTCTACCGATTGAATAGAATTTTTAAAGCATTCTGAATGTAAAAATAAAGAAAAAAGTGTGCAAGACAATAAGAAACACTACATGCCAAAAAAAAAAATGAAGTTTTGTTGAAATCGGTTGAAAAATGTAGGTAGCCTTTCTGTAATCTTTTAGTTTTACAATTTATGATTTTTACTTATTGAATACAGTAAAAAAAGTTGCATATTTTGCTTGTGGTGATTCATAATTAGAATTCTGATTTGAATATATTTTCAACTCGTTGTTTCTAATACAAAAAATATTAACTTTATTTGGGTTTATTAATTATGATCTAACAAATCTTATTCATTTAGTAGCCTTTCTGTAATAATAATCTTTTACAATTTATGATTTTTACTTATTGAATACAGTAAAAAAATGGACACCATGTGTATTTAAAGTAGTTTCCCGTTCCGGTTATTATTTTTAGTTAGGACTTGTGTATGCTTAGATTTCATTATCTTTCCCTAAAGATAAAGAATTTATCCGATGTTTGTATTCGTACAATCAGTAGAGATCGTTAGATTATTGTTTAAGGTTGACGGACACGCATGTCTTAATTAGTTTTTTTTTTTTTTTACGAATTGGTCAAACCCAAACACAAACAAAAACATTGTTTTCAATCGTTATGAGTCTTCCAATTGAATAGAATTTTATTATAAATAATTGTCTTGTAAATGGAATTTTAAAGCATTCTGAATGTTAAAAATAAAAAAAAAAAAGTGTGCAAGAGAATAAGAAACACTACCTGCCAAAAAAAAAGTGAAGTTTTGTTTTATCGGCTGAAAAATATAGGAAATCCGCTCCCATATTTAAAGGAACCCACACACACACACACACACACACACACAAACAACCCGATGTGAGTTGTCCCCCTTCCATTTTCACGATGTCACTTAATCGTGTTTTCAAATTGATTTTGTGCAAAAACAATTATATTTTTCCAATTTTTGGCGCTGTTAGAACCACCACAAGGTAATTTTATGTAGTCCTGTGAAGTTTTGTTGAAATCGGTTGAAAAATGTAGGAAATCCGATCCAATATATTAATGTTACAGACACACACACACACACACACACACACACACACACACAATCTGCATTTTATAATAAGTAAGATTTAACGAAATGCTTTGTTTTTTTAATTTTATTTAAACAGTTGAATGTTCGAAAAATTTCGTAGGAAATATGAGCTTTCCGAGAGAAATAGAAGCTGTACCTATAACTTTAATCGGGACCGTCATTTGATGTGAGGTACTCTGTGAACCATTCAGCCATAAAGAATATATAGGACTTGGGATCAAGTATTGATCGGAATCCGATAGAATACTATAAAGAATAGGAAAGGTCTCACTTTTAATATTCTCTGATAAAGCATTAATAAAAGTGAAACATTAGACTGATAAATGTTTCCTATTTGTTCTTTATCTTATATATATATATATATATATATATATTCATGCAAGTTTCATTAAAATGAAAGAAGTATTACTCCCTAATATAATATATATATATATATATATATATATATATATATATATATATATACGAAGGTCGTTCAAAAAGTTCTAATCTTCACCCAGAAGGAGTTGAAGAAACAAGGCAGTTTCGTTATTTCTCAATATAGCCCCCTTGACGTCCATGCAGTTGGTCTAACGATGCTTAAACACTTCAGTCCCATCACGGAAGATGGCAGCGTCCTGGTTCCCCAAACATTCCTTCAAAGCACATATTATCTCATCAACATTTCCAAAATAGCGATCGCGCAAGTGGGTTTTTAGCTTAAGAAACAGGAAGAAGTCAGAAGGAGCTAAGTCTGGTAAATAAACGGATGGCTTAGCAATTCGAAGCCACAGATGGCTGTTTCAGCTATTGCGACCTGGGCAGTTTGAACAGGAGCAAGAGCATGATTTCCACTTGATTGCTTCCTTCAGTTGTCTGAATTCTGATGCATAGTTCTGTCCATTAATAGTTTTGCCCTTTTCCAGGTTGTCTATCAGAGTAATAGATAGTGGCTCGGATTGAGGAATGGGAGAGCCAAGTTCGAATTCCAGTCGAATCCATTGCATTCACTTACGTGCTATACCCTTGGGAAAGGTATGAATTCTCTTCTTCTTCCCCTAGCTATTAGTAAATAGCAGACCAGACCGGTTTCTCTAGCCTTGAATGGCAACTGGTCTACTGCAGAATAAAAT